TGTTTTAAATGAAATTCATTCATTAAAGGAACATATCTAATCTATTAATGTGAATAGTACAGTTCCAGATACTACCCAACATCAGTTTTATCAACCTTCTCAACATTAAAGGTCACTATGACACGTAGAAATTAGTATATAAAGTAATCAAGCCACTATAACATTAATAGCGAGTTTCTTGATATTCTAGGCGAGTCTCTTTCTTGGTTCTGAAAATAATTTAGATTTAAAATTATTTTTCTTTTAATTTTACTTTGGAAAAATAAAACAAAGTTTATAAATAACTAATATATTAATTTAAAAGGTTTAATTTAATATTAACTATTATTTATATTATATTATATTTAATTTGAATTGTTTGTAGTATTTTATTATTGTTTTCAATTTATTTTAACTTTAAAATTTGTACTTTGAAATTAGATTGTAATTATTATGATGTTTTCTTTATTAAATAAATAGCGAGTTTCTTGATATTCTAGTTTGGTTTTATTTCCCGTTGTTGTTCCGGCCTCCTACCGTGAGCCTCCCCCTAGATTTTGCCAAACTGCATTACAATTGTCGGGTTATTAGATACCACAACAACAACAGAAAAATACAACACAATAGAATGATAGAGTACCATGTTTAGCAACAGAAAGAAACCACTGAAATCAGGAAAAACACCTTCTAACTACAACCTACACAAGATCCAATCTACAAGCGAGTCTGCATTTGATAACTTAGACATCTTTTCCAACCAACCAGACGACGGTGTCATCTTCAAAAAAGATCATCCAATTTCGCAGCCAGTTGTCGATTGTGACAACGACACAACAATACCATACGTAGACGACCAGCCTTTCTTTCAGTCGTCGCCTATTCATTCAAAGACCAATCATTTCCTTTCATCGTGGACAGGACAACCTACCGTTCCGACCTTTGTGACCGTCCATCATACATAGGACATAACAATTTTACAAACACATCAGGGAAGAAATGAGTCTGTACTAGATTTCCTATCTAGGTTAATGAAATTAGCTACTAACAGAAATATATCTGATGATATATTGCTAGCCGTAGCAATGAATGGTTTAAAGGCCGATTTTAAAATAATAGTCATGACGAAAGAACCTTTAAATATTGAAGAATTTAGGCATGCCGCAAGTTTGGCAGAAAAGGCTATTGATTCAAACGTAAATTCTGTAAATTCCATGAATCACACTGTTTAAAATGAAATTCATTCATTAAAGGAACATATCCAATCTATTAATGTGAATAGTACAGTTCCAGATACTACCCAACATCAGTCTTATCAACCTTCTCAACATTAAAGGTCACTATGACACGAAGAAATTAGTATATAAAGTAATCAAGCCGCTATAACATTAATAGCGAGTTTCTTTCTTGGTTCTGAAAATAGTTTAGATATAAAATTATTTTTCTTTTAATTTTACTTTGGAAAAATAAAACAAAGTTTATAAATAACTATACGTATAGCGGGTTATTTTCGCGGGTGTAAAATTTCGCGATAAAAGGGCAACAAAGTATATGAGAAATTTTGGCGGTTTTTATTTTGGTTGATTCTTTAATTCCAATTAAATATTTTGGCGGATACTGAAATGGTTGAAGTTAAAAAGTTTTAAAAATTGACAAACACGGGTTAAATGATTGTTTTACCTTAATTCATGGATTATTTTTTGATACATTTAATCAATAGAATACGGGTACATTGTTATTTGTCACAGGTGTACAAACTTCTTGTAAATGTTACGGTTAATAAGTTACGAAATTGACCGGACCTTTGATGTACTAATTAGATTATAAAATTATCATGAGTGACTTACAACTCTTATATAATTTGACACTAATTTATAAGGATAAAATACCTGACAATTGTACCTTACACCCTTATATTATTATTTATTTTATAATGTAACCAAAAAACTAATTGACACCTGATTGCCAGTGAACAATAGCATTTGGCATTTATATTGTTTAAATTAACATTAACCGTTATTGATCCGTCGAACGGAAAAAATAGATAGTTTACAAAACGCTTTAGTTATTAGAAAGTATCGAACGTATGCACTAATTTTCGCGATTTCTCCTGACCCACCAAAATAAGCGAAAATAAACACCCCGCGGAAATAACCCGCTGTGCGGTATATTAATTAAAAAGGTTTAATTTAATATTAACTATTATTTATATTATATTATATTTAATTTGAATTGTTTGTAGTATTTTATTATTGTTTTCAATTTATTTTAACTTTAAAATTTGTACTTTGAAATTAGATTGTAATTATTATGATGTTTTCTTTATTAAATAAATAGCGAGTTTCTTGATATTCTAGTTTGGTTTTATTTCCCGTTGTTGTTCCGGCCTCCTACCGTGAGCCTCCCCCTAGATTTTGCCAAACTGCATTACAATTGTCGGGTTATTAGATACCACAACAACAACACAAAAATACAACACAATAGAATGATAGAGTACCATGTTTAGCAACGGAAAGAAACCACTGAAACCAGGAAAAACACCTTCTAACTACAACCTAACTACATAAGGGGTATCTGAGGACCCCCTTTATACAAACTATAGTACCCCTTATATATAGATAGTACCCCTTATATATAGTACCCTACTTTATATAGACTATAGTAACTAAACTATAGTACCCCTTAAAATACAGTACCCCTTTATATAAACTATAGTACCCCCTTATCTGATGGCCCTTTATATAAACTTTAATACCCCTCCAGATATAGTACCCTCCCCCCAATCTAGGGCCCCCTTATATAACTATAGTACCCCCTCCACATATTATATATATTACACACTAATTTATGATAAACACTTTTTTATATCAACTTACCTTATTTATAGTGTGTCTTTTTCAATCTAATTCAAACTTCTGTCTCAAATATCAGTTAACTGTTCATTACGGTCAGTTACCCCCCACGAGTGTTTCATGATTGACAAACATTATTCACTTAAAGTATAATAGGTTATCTGAAATGTTAGACATTTATTATGATGTATTTACTATTTTCATGTCAGGAATCATCAGTGTACTTTTATATTTGACAAAATGTCATTTGTTATGCTAACAATGTGTTAAGGTGTCAAGTGCTTTATAGGCATATAGATTGATGCACTACAATTTTCATAGGAATCAAGTATCACTTCACACCATTTAATCATAACACATCTGCTTTATAATAACCCTTATAGTGACTTTAAACTAATCCAAACTGTGTCTCAAATACCATCACACCCTCTTTAATAGACAAATACTGAGTTGTCTCAAATACCAAACTCCTTAAAAAAACAAAAGCTCATTTTTTTCCCTATACATGTCATATAACCAAATGATATACAGAAATAACAAAAAGGTGTAAATTTAATAACTTTATTAAAAATCTTTAAAAAATCATGCAGTAATCAATTGGAAAAATATAATATACAAGTAATAAACATTATAATATATCATTTTATTCATAACAAAATGGAGTTGGAAAGGTTCAACATCTTTAACAACCACAATGCAGAATGTATTAACATCTGTAAAATATACAGTTTTGTGAAAAAAATTATGAAATAGGCAAATGAAGTATATTTAAATAAATTTTCAAGATAGTAAAAGGTGAAATATATCATGTCTTTTTCAATAAAAAGAATGTAGCATGATTAGGAAATTCAAAGTAGTTTAAAATTTATACCAAAACACCATTTTTTTTAAAAGAGGGTATTATTAATCAATAAAACAATAAGATCAAAGTTATAATCAACAATACACAATCAATCAGTAGATTTATCTAAATCTTTAATATCATTAAAAAAATTATCATCTTTAAACATCATAAAAAGCACTATAATAAATAAAAAAAATTACATCACAAAGTAACAATCAAGAAAGCACCAACAATCAATCATAAAATTCATCTAAAATCTTAAATTGTAAAAATATACAATCTATATACCTTTTTATAAAAGTAAAAGGCTTTTGGCTTCCCTGCTGTATGTTCAGGGGTTAATAACAAAATAAATAATATTGCACTCACTAAAAAAAAGAGTATTTGATTAATACTATTACATGAATGTATTTGTTCATGTATATGAGGTAGTAACAAAAAAAATAATACTAATGATTTAATATATACACCCCCAACCCTATCTTTTTTAACTATATATGTAAAAATATGTCAAAATAAAAACCAATTTCTATTTTAAATATTAAAGATTAACATGTATATAGGTATGAAACAAATACATACTTTTACATACAAATTAACCTTTTAGGAGCCCCATTAACAAAAAGAGAAATAACACAAATTATTATAATTCTTACTCAAAAGGTACTTTAAATGAAATATGTAAAATATACATAAATATATTTAAATTTAAGTTTTTAATATTAGACATTTAACCTTGCATAACATTTAAATTTGTGACATATATAATGGCAAGTTTGTAATGCTAACTTATACAAAATAAACAGGCATAACATTAAAAATCAAAAAGGTCACTTTTATACATCACTCTCATACATAGGGTTTTCTATTGTTAAGTATAATCTCTAAGCAGTCCCAAAACAACAACACATTCAAGTGAAACACAAAAATAAAGAAAAATAACACAACTTATTATTATTATACCTACTTAAAACACAGGTGCTTGAGTCAATATATTTTTTCCAAATGTTTGTTTCTAATATTTACCATTTATTTATAGCATATGTATACTAATTTACCATAAATTTACTCATTATATACATGTTTACTATCAATGTGCTTCGCTCAATGGCACATTGATAGCAAACATGTATATAATGAGTAAATTTATGTATATTAGTATACATATGTTATTATTAGAAACAAACATTTGGAAAACAGATATTGACTAATGAAAAAAAGGGGGGCGGCTATGAGAGGTCTAAGACAGGGTCCTGTCCTCAAGCACATGTGACTCAAAAGGCACTTTAAATGAAATATGTAAAATATACATAAATATATTTAAATTTAAGTTTTTAATATTAAGACATTTAACCTTGTATAACATTAAGATCTATGGCATATGGAATGATATTAAAGTAGGGACGGCTTCTACTAGATCAGAAAAAGGTTAATAGATATTCACATATTGACCACTGACATCTCCCACATAAAAAAACATCATGACTAAACTGTATATATCCGTTATCCTTCACTAAAACCATACAAAAAAAGGAGATTTTCACTCAAATAGCAACAAATAGACAATTCAAGTACACCCCCTCCAAAGTACTGATATAACAAAAGAATCGTAACAAATCATGATTACCAATATAAAATAACATGAATATTGGATATTTTTAACCAAAAAAAATCGTGACAGGTCAAGGTCACCAATATAAGTTTACCTAAAAATGTCTGAAACCAATACAAACTACAGTAAGGTGATTTTTATACAGGACTTTCATATACAGGGTTTTCAATTGTTATGATGGATAATTTTCGTCTCTGTCTCGTTCTGTGGGCTATTGGTGAATCTTCTTCAATCGAGGGTGTAGGATCTGTGATCTGCTGTGGGAGTGTTGTAACTATAGGTGATGGTGAACCAGGTGATGGTGAATGAGGTGGTGGCAAGGGTGTACGAAAAGGAAAATCTAGTAGCGGTGTTGATTCATTAATTTGTACGGGTCTTTTGAACTTCATATAATAAACACCAAATGCAACACCCATTATGAGTAAAATGGTGCTTGCTGTCGCCCATATAATCAGTCCTGTAAAGTATCAATTATATTGTTGTACAAAGATACACTTCATTCATTTTCAAATAACCTTTCACCTACACTTTTATTTCTATCTAATATATACAATACATATTTTTCTTTACTGAAATAAATTTGTAAACAAACAAGATACAAAAACCAAAACATAAAAATATTACAACACATAAAACAACCAAGATATATAATATAGAATTATCTGTATTTTCAGATGAACTTCTTGTACCATATATTTATAAAATGTACTTGTCGATTTATTTTGTATATCAGCAGAACTGAAATTTGTGCTTGAAACAAGTGACGTTGTAGAAACTGTAGAATGTATGTCCAGAGAAGAAATACTGTTTTGTTTTCTTGTACAATTTTTTATGTGTTGAATGGTAATTCATCAATTGATCTAATAACATCTTTTCTCGAAGTTGTTACATGGTACATCACTAAGGATGGTATACATTATACTATTATAAATATTCATACCTGTGTGCTCTTTATTTTCTATTTTATAACCAGCTGGTGTAGTAACTGGAAAAAAAACCAAGCAACTATTGAAAACCAAACAATGTGTATTTTTAACAATACATACTATCGTTCCAATTAACTTCACCAAAGAGAGTGTCATGAAATTTTTTAAAATATATGAACTGTCAATGGATATTAAGGGTCCTTCTATAGGATTCTATTTTTAAATGAAAAATTACAAAAGGATCACTTTGATATCATCAATATTTCATATGTACTAGGGATTCACCATAACTGTACTGTATATATCCATACTCCTATTAACTTCAACAAAAATGAATTCTGAAATTTTTGAAAATATGTATAACGTGAATTATTGATAATTAACCCTAATATTAGAATTACTATGGAAGGAATTTAGTCTCATAACAACAACATAACAGTATACAATGAATTGCAATTAGTGTACCACAGATTGCAATATTCAGTGTACAAGGTACCAAGGTACAGTGTAAAAAATGATTCAATAACAATATTTTAGGTATACAATGGATATATTGATCACAAAAATCTTATGTAAGTACGTGGGCATATTCCTACCTGTTGTTTCTTCAGTACTGCCAATAGTAGTGTCAATATGTACTTGTGTAGTGGTTGTTTCTTCAGTACTGCCAATAGTAGTGTCAATATGTACTTGTGTAGTGGTTGTTGCTTCAGTACTGCCAATAGTAGTGTCAATATGTACTTGTGTAGTGGTTGTTTCTTCAGTACTGCCAATAGTAGTGTCAATATGTACTTGTGTAGTGGTTGTTTCTTCAGTACTGCCAATAGTAGTGTCAATATCTGTCTGTGTAGTGGTCTCATTATGAATTGGAACTGAAAAAAAAAATAAAACAGATATCATTAAAAAAAGCATATACAAGAAACCAGTCATTATGACCAGTTATTAACATAATATAAGGTAAAAGTCAGAGAAAGCTTTTTCCCACCATCTCTTAACATCAAAATCGCGAAAAAAAGGATTTCGATTAAAAGTATCAATTTTGAATTATAGAATTTGTAAAATATCACATAAGTACATCCTTAAAACAACTTACCACATAAAACAAGAGAACAATTCCATGAACAAGACGAGCTCTCATGATAGTGTACCAATAGAACGTCTTTCTGGTTTAACAACCTTATTCTGCAATCACATGATTCACCACGTATCTCTATATGTTTTACTCTACGAATGATCTCAATATCTTCAGCCTCTCCACAATAACAAACTACATTCTGGCCAAACACTTTGTTACAAAAACCTGCTGTTGTGGACTGAATTAAACTAAACAAGAGGAACACTTGAACCACACAGGGCGCCATATTTTGAGAAAAAGAACAATGCACTATTAACCTACGCAAAACAAAATAGGACTATAATACTACGCGTCGTATTTTAGTGGTTTATACATACCACGTGCAAATGATACATAGACATAGGCCTATCTAGATCGTCACTAGATAAGCCTTTTATTTATTTACAGAATAGAAATTAATGGGCAAAAAAATATAAAGAATAGAGAAAAATGAACAAAAAAGAGAATAGAGAATAATGAGCAAAAATTATAAAGAGTAGAATTAAAGAAAAACGGTCTATAAAATTAAAGAATACAGAAATGGAGGGTATATATATATATATATATATATATATATATAAAGAATAGAGAATAATGAGCAAAAATTATAAAGAGTAAAATTAAAGAATACAGAAATGGAGGGGTCCCTAATATATTTATCAATGAAAATTTAAAATCCTAGGATATATCAATCTCATACATTCTTATCCAATTCCAAAATAAAAGAATATGATATATAATCATCTTACGGTCATCTTACGGTCAGATAAATATTTATCTTTTACACGTTATAAGATAATTAATGCCAAATTTAATTATTTATAAATGATATCAGAAGTCCATTACTAGGGTAATGAACTTCCGATGATATTAAACAACAAGGTTGAAATTTCTGAATCTTTCTCGATTTTACACGTTATGAAATAATTAATGTTAAATCATAAATATTAAACAACATGTAAGCTTTGATCTTTCTCGAAGACATGATACATTGACATAAAAACATAAAATCATATAATACCCGAAAGTTTGAATCTTTCTCGAATTTACACGTTATAAAATAATTAATGTCAAATTTAATTATTCATAAATAATATTAAACAACAAGGTTTAATCTTTCTTGAAGAAATGAAACAATGACAATACAAAAAATAAAATCACATATATACCAGAAAGAAATTAAGTTATTCATCATTAAGGCTCTAAATTCTATCTACAACATGGTAGAGAAAATGGTTACAATGTAAGTACTTTTACATGTATTGCATATTTAATTCATTACCTTAATAGTTACTGGAAATCATTGTATAAAACATTATTGTTGAGGTATTATGATATACATAATGGAAATATTTCTATTGCTACAAATACGAACAAATCTTTAGACGCAATTGTTATAATATAAACGATATATGGAACTGTTTAACGACGAAGGCATACAGAGTTATTTCCCATATAATTAAATAACAAATAACACGAGTGACCTCTCTTTTAATACTTATTAATTGACATAATGTAAATTAAATGTGATATTTGTAAAATGAACCGATATATGTAAGAACCGGATTAAATGAGATTCACGACGATTTTTAACTTGCATGAACAAATGAAACAGGTATACGAAAACGAGGGATAATGAGTTCAAACTTATATAATCTTTTTACAGGAAGAGATCTTTAAGCGATGGTGAAGATGAGGAGGGGTTAACAGGCATCAAAATACGGTAAGATTTTTTTTTATTGTATCCTATTTAAAAAATATATTGAAACATGCGCCTTAAACACATCGTACGGTAAATAATGTAATTTAGTAGACCTAAAATATGTATTTTTTTAAAAATATATAGAGTGCCTAAATTTTCTTTTACGAAGTTACTTGTTGATTTGCGCAGTGGCGTAATGTTCCATTGACACATTTGTTTCTCTGTTGAATTCAAATAATATTTATACAAAGGAGATGGTCCATAATTACTAATACGACATATAAAAAATTTCTGAAAATAAGATTCTGAATTTCAAAATACAGTCTACATTTTGGTTTCTATCAATTAAACCTTTATTTGATGCCAAGAACTCTATACGATGATTGATTGATTGATTGATGGTTGCTTAACGTCCAGTGGCAAATATTTCATGCATATTCAGGACGAGAACAAGTTCACAATAAATACAATAGGTAGGTTCTGTAATAGATTAAAGGGATTATGGTCGGAGAAATTTAGACTGCCACGGGAAATGAGGGTATATTGGATAGGAACAGAAATTTAGCCTTGCAACAGGTCACCAACGGACCCCTCTAAGAGTTGTTGCAAGGGTTCTTAACGTGCAAAGAGCGTGGCACTCTCTTTACACGAGGCATCGGATTTAACGTCCCCATTCTGACCGGACGTGGCTGCAAATTTGTACATCCCGGACAGCCAAACGGACGCCCCACTTTAGCATGGGTTTTACTGCCGGTCGGAGGAAGACCAATGGTGACTATACTTCTATTCCCCAGTCACCCTTGGGGGTCTCTATACGATGTGTTTTATATATAACTTTAACAACTATGTAAATTTATAGCCTTCCCGGACACATTATTCTAACTCTGAGCCAGCCAATATTTGATCTTACTCCTAAATGCCTCGTTTGGTGTAAATACCAATTTTAAAGTCTTTTGTTTGGCCCAACTGGAAATCGAACCCACAACATATATATATATATATTTACTCAAAGACAATTTTGCATTTCTGTGTGTGAACAACAAACAAGAGATAATTTTTAGATGTATTCTTTATGCTCGCTGTATAAAAACTTAAGGGTCTCATCCTTTGTTTTTATTCTTATTTAAGCTAGAGGAAATGCCACAGTTATATATGAAATATACGGAATAAATTTACAAAATGTATTCCTTTTCTTTAGACTCTCATTAAAACCAGAGACATTAAAACATTTTTAGGTATACACGTATAGTAAATACTGTATTCATTATAATATTGTTTTTAAATTCTTAAATATACGGCGAGGGAAGAACAAAAAAATTTCTAACGCAAATTTACAAATCTAATATTGTAGGGCCTGTTATTTAGAGTAATTATGTATATAATATGTGTTTTCATCCATGTATCACCTTCACTGGTGATCCAATTAATCAATTTATCGTTGAGTTGTCACTTGTTCAGACGTACTTATATATATATATATTTACTCAAAAACAATTTTGCATTTCTGTGTGTGAACAACACACAAGAGAGATAATTTTTAGATGTATTCTTTATACTCACTGTATAAAAACTTACGGGTCTCATCCTTTCTTTTTTAATCTGATCTAAGCTAGAGGATTTGCCATAGTTATATTATGAAATATACGGATTAAAAATACAAAATGTATTCCTTTTTTTTTAGACTCTCTTCATGTACACTGGACGATGCAGAGACGCTAAATATTGAAGCCACTACGACCATAGTGAACAAAAAAATTGTGAACAGGAACATGAAAATCCTGTATTTTCAGAAATTAATAGCTAAGCAAACGGAACTTATGAAAAGAGACATGCAATTCAATAAACTATTGGAACAAAGGAGACAACACATAAAAAACCATCCGATGGATTAGCTAGAGACTTGTATAAATGGATTAGCTAGAGACTTGTATATCATTGTAATAATAACATATTAAAATATATCAAAAGATTTGTTTTGTTTCTTATGCATATATAGTAATACTAGGTCTGTTTTTTTGTAGTCGTTATTAGCTTGTTACTTTTTCAAAAAAAATATTTTATTTGATGGTGTTTTAACGTCACTTTATCATATAGATAATTTTATGACGGCCCCTTTTATTGGCGAAGGAAATTGGGAACAGTCTTATGGCTTCTATTACGTCAGAAAAATGTTAATAAATATTCACATATCGACCACTGACATCGCTCACATAAAAAAAACATCACGACTAAACTGTATACATCAGTTATCCTTCACCAAAAACCATACAAAAAAAGGAGATTTTCACTCAAACAAGATAACATAACAGCAACAAATAGTGGCTGAAACCGATACAAACTACAATTACAGTACCCATATCCAATAAGTCTACGCATATCGAATAACAGAAAATTGTAAAAAATAATATAGTACACATATGGAATAACATAACCACCGTGACAATAAACAATATATAATAGTTTTTTTTACCCTACCGAAGAATTAGACAAAAGGGGTTGTTAACATAACATCCAGTGACCCATGCAAAAAAGGTGCGCCAGTATATAAATTTTGCATTTTAATATCTCCATTTAGAAGTCTCTACAGAATGGCCAAGAGATATCCTTCACTATCGGACTTATTAAATGATTTCGAATCCATCGAAGAATTACAGCAGTGGGCTCAACAAAACGGGATTTTAAACCATCCTCTCGTACGTCAGAGAACAATATTTTTCAACCTTTTAAACACATTTGATAATGCTGAAGATCTCACACAATGGGCCATAGATAATTTCTTATTGAATCACCAACAAAAATTAGATAAAATCAAGAGTTTACTGACCTGCAGGTGGTGTAAAACGAGAGTAAAATCGACAGAGGAGTTACGAAGCCACGAAGGATATCACCGGAAAACGGAAGAACGAAGTAACGTACAGCAGGGTCTTTATGATTTTGCGACTTCTAGTAGTCTGATATGTTCATGGTGTAAAATAAAGATGGGGTCACATAATCAATTAATGGAACACGAAGACTTCCATAGACTAATAGACGAGTTAAGCGTTTTTGATTCTCCGGAAAACGCTCCTATATCACAAGACAACATACCCAGTATAAATCCCAATCATAAATATTTCTGCTGTTTCGCACCAGAGCGGCGAGGGCGAAACTGCCACAACTCCATACATTTTTCGGCAAACTGGCCAAAAAACCTTTGCAAAAAACTTGGCTACAGAAACCACTTATCGAATCAAATTCACCGATGTTTGGAAGGGACAAAAAATACGAGAACTGTTTAAAGACATACACCAAATGTTCGTTGACGTTTTAGATAAGGCTAAAAGAAGAGACCAAGACCTTGGTCGCATCATCATCAATCATCCCGATTTCAAACATCCCATCGTAGTACCATTAGACAAATGGTCCAACATAAGTTCAAACACAGTACTCGACGCCGTGGAAAGAGTATTGAATAGCGACTAAAATCTTCCAATCAACGAAAAAAAGGATGTCATCATAGGGAGCATAGCCGTACCGAGCGGAAGCGGACGAGTTAACATTACGAAATCAAAAGGACCTCAAAGTTCTATCGCGCTAAAAAGATCCATGTTACAAGTTTATAACGATGACCACCTGTGTTTGGCTACGGCCATTGGAAGATGCTTCATCAAACTATGCACTATCGTCTCGCTTGACGAATGCAACAGGATAACGAAAAACGATCATCCCGACATGAACGCCACAATGAAAACCTTAAAACACAGAATGATGACCACAAGTTATTTCACACATTTGAAAAAACTTTACAACAATAAGTAC